CAGAAATCATCCGCGTCAATATATCCTAAATGGCTTATTTCTTTTTCAAAACCTTTCTCACATTCCTACTTGTGTTTAGTTTGATCTTTAAATAAAATGTTATATAAAATGCTTCCTGGAAAGTGTAGTGCTTGAAAAAAATTCATGGAATAATGAAAGCAATATTCTCAAACAAAATAAAATAAACAACACAAAAAAGTGAGGAAACGTCTTTAAAAAAGCATTTTGGCAATTTTGTAGCAATTGCAAAAGCCGATGTTACTGGTGCTCTTACAGAAACAGTGCTACTCTGCTTAACTGGGACCTACACTGTTCATGCCTCTGGATTGTCATAGTTCCCTGATTCCTTCCTGTTCCTGTCACAGCTTAACTCCTGTCCTCTGCAAGAGACTAAGTCATATGGCTTTTGATGTTTTCTCTGTTGATAGTTCTTGTTAGGAATAAGATGGGAACAGAAGCCGAAGTCATTTATAGAAAAGAAACAAATGGATTATTGGTTGATAATTATTTCCTGTCAAGTTATAACCCCAATCAGATCAATGACCATGACCATCATGCTCAATACTGTACCTGGTGTGGAGACTGGTACGGTGTTCAGTAAATATTGCTTGGATAAAATGACTCCTGTCAGACTTGAATCTCACTAATATGTATGATAAAGGCCGATTGCATAAACATGACAAAATCACTGGAATATTAATCATTAAATTAAGGTAACGGGTCAATTAGAGTTCTTACTACCCTTGGAGAGGTCATAATGAATGATTATCAGCACGTGCTGCAGAGCTCAGTATTATTATCTGGGTAACTTGCCATCACTGAAGGGAAGGGAGGACAGTGTTCTAAGAGCTTGTGACACAGGGAATATAACCACAGCAAGGAGCACTGCTGGGATGACAGAACAGAGAGACACCACCACAGGGAACCTTGAACTCTAAGGGGTAGCAACAGGATATTGCGAGCAAAAGACACAGAAAGGAAAGCTGGGATGGAGAGCAAGATGGAAGAGTACACCATGATAAATCCTGCACGTATTGTTTTGGGTAAGGACCAGCCTATCTCTCTATGTGTGCCAGGTTAAGAAAACAAAAGAACCTAATCAACACCTTGGTTACAAAATTCACGCAGCCTCTCTATTTTTCAGCCTTACTAGACAAATGTAGACAAGCTTGTAAAGATTCAAACGTAGACAAATGTAAACAAGACTGTAAAGATTCAATGAAATGGTATACCTGGCAGTATCTGTCAAAAAGAAACACTTCATAAGAAGTTTTTTGGTCCTGGCACAGTGGCTCATGCCTGTAATCCCATCACTTTGGGAGGGTGAGGTGGGCAGATCACGAGGTCAGGAGTTCAAGACCAGCCTGGCCAACATAGTGAAACCCTGTCTCTACTAAAAATACAAAAAATTAGCTGGGTGTCATGGTGTGTGCCTATAATCCCAAGTACTCCAGTGGTTGAGGAGGAGAATCACTTGAACCCAGGAGGTGGAGGTTGCAGTGAGCCGAGATCTTGCCACTGCGCTCCAGCCCAGGTGACAGTGCAAGGCTTCATCTCAAAAAAAAAATAAAAAACAAAAAACAAAAAAACAGTTCTTCAGTTCCCAGAAAGAAACAGATAGCACATTGCAATGAATTAATTTGAGGAGTGTTTTGAAAAGGGACTTTTTGTAAAGACATGGATAGAATATAATGAAACCCCAAGCTCAGTACGGCTGACCACAATGACTACCTGAGGCCCACAGACATGAGAAAAGGGGCAGCTGGGAGAACCTGAAGACAGAGGAGAGTGTGGAGAGGTCTGCCTGACTGGAAGCCAGAAAAATCCAGTTTACAGCAATCCTGCAGTGGGGAGCTGATATGGTGTGGCTGTGTCCCCACCCAAATCTCCTCTTGAATTGTAGCTCCCATAATTCCCACATGTTGTGGGAGGGACCCCAGCGGAGATAATTGAATCATGGGATAGTTTCTGCCATTCTATTCTTGTAAGTCTCATGGGATCTGATGGTTTTATAAGGAGAGACCCCTTTTGCTGATTCTCATTCTCTCTTGCCACTGCCATGTAAGAAGTGCCCTTAGCCTTCTGCCCCGATTATGAGACCTCCCCAGCCATGTGGAACTGTGAATCCATTAAACCTCTTTTTCTTTATAAATTATGCAGTCACAGATATGCCTTTATCAGAACATGAAAACAACCAGTTCCTGCTGGTTCTCTTCCCTGACCAGATCCAACTGGAGCTAAAGCGTAAGGGAGCCCACTCGTGGCATCCATAGGGGTCAGCCTCCTAGGGGCCCAAAGTGAGGTGTGTGGAGAGTAGATTTGCAGGGACAAGAGGAAAAGGGGGCTAACACAGTATCCATAATGGTAACAGTAATTACTATTTTTTGCTTTTGTTATGCCAGCATCTGGCACCAGAATACTCAATGCTTAGCATAATGTCTGGAGCCTGGATGTTCAGTAATAATCTATGAATGAATGGGCAAATTCCCATCCACAATTGCATCTGTAATGCAAAATGTTCACCACTTAAAGAGTCCAATTAACAAGAGCAAGGGCTGCTATAAAGAAAGGACTTTGTATTGCAAAGATACCTTAGGGGAAGAAGTACAGGATTCCTGCCTTAAGGGTATCATTTTGCTTTTGGAGAGAAAGTGGGTGCTTTTGAAGGGAGAAGCCTGCATCGAGGTAGAAGTAAGCAAGTTGGGGGTCTGCACTTTGGTGACTTATCTGTTGGGCAGTAATGTTAGCATCTTCATGAGCAGAAATAGGTTATAAAGGTGGCTAAAAACTCTAGTGGGTATACTTTGGGTTATAAATTGACTGCTATTTGTCAAGGCAATCTCCTGGTGGGCGAGAGATCTGCTCTGGAGATTCTAAGCACATAGATGAACTTGTCCTGTAGGAAGTGTCTGGTGAAGAGGAGGTAAAAGGCTATAATTGCATCTCTAAAGAGCTAAGTAGGAAGTGAAGAAAAGAAGGAAAGAGAAAAAGAGAGAGAAAATAATTAAACTGTCTCATAAGAAAATGAAGGTACTTGGTTAAATATCCATTAGACATTAAACCAGGTTGATATTAAAAGAGGCCTAAGTACAAGTGGCTTAAAAAACACAAGGATAGTTTCTACATAAAAGAAATCTGCCAGCTTGGGCAACATGGTGAAACCTTGTCTCTACAAAAAATACAAAAAGTAGCCAGCTGCATGTATATAGCCCCAGCTACTTAGGAGGCTGAGGTGGGAGGATCTCCTGACCCTGAAGAGGTTGAGGCTGCAGTGAGCTATAATTGCACCACTGCATTCCAGCATGGGTGACAGACTAAGACCCTGTCTCAAAAAAAAAGAAAAAAGGAAATAAAAAAAGAAAGAAATCTGGAGGCAGACTTTCCAGAACTGAAAACAGATACAGAGGTTCCGTTAAGTCATAAGCGACCGTGGTCCCTGGTTCTCCTCTTCTTTCTATTCCTCTGGGGTGGCTTTCAACCTTGAGGTCTTACAGTCTTTGAAGATGCATCTTATGATCCAAGATGGTTGTGTCAACCAAAAGATATCTGAGACAGGTCTGTCAGTTTAGAAAGTTTATTCTGCCAAGATTAGGGATATGCCTGTGACACAGCCTCAGGAGGTCCTGACAACATGTGTCCAAGGTGGTTAGGGTTTTTATACGTTTTGCTTGCTTTTCTACATTTTAGGAAGACATAAGCCATCAATCAATATGTGTAAGATGTACATTGGTTTGTGACAACTTGAGGTGGGGGCTTCCAGGTCATAAGTAGATAAGAAACAAAAGGTTGTATTCTTTTGAGTGCTTGATCAGCCTTCCACTGATGCACAATTTAGTTTGGCTCAGTGAATCTTCATTTTTACACAAACAAAAGGCAGAGGAAGCAATCAGATATGCATTTGTCTCGGATGATGAGTTCTATCTGTCCTTTGTCCTCAGGGAACTTCCTTATGGATAAATTGTGAGGGAGGTATGTAGCTTTTTGTCTTTGTAGCTATCTTATAAAATGAAAGGCAGGTTTGTCTGACATAGTTCCCAGCTTGACTTTTCCCTTGGCCTAGTGATTTTAGGGCCCCAAGATTTATTTTCCTTTCACAGCTGCCAGATCTCCAGATATTATATCCACATTTCAGGAAATGAGAAAAGAAAAGGGGAAGGGGCGTTAGCTTTCTCTAAGTTGTTCTACCGGAACTCCCATATGGCATTAACTCATATCTTTTTGGCCAGAATTTAGTCACAAAGGAGATGGAGAGGTGGCATTTTTCTGAGTACACTGTTACCTTGAATAAAATCTGTTATTGCTATGGAAGAGGTCAGCATTCTATCGAACAGACAGTATGGACTTCAAAGACTAAATTTTGAGACTTGAGAAAAGATAGTTACAGAAGAGCCACATAAGTTATCTTTGCTTACCTGTTTGCTAGACTGAGTCTGAACTAGCTGAATAAACTAGTGATCCCAGACAATTATCTGGTTATTAGAAGAAAAAGAAACCATCACTGAGCTATTGGTGGTAGTGTGGATGGGAATTTTATCTTCCATTTAAAATTTTCTGAGCCCCTCCTCATCTGACTAGTTGTGAGCCCACAAAGCAAGCCATCATGCTGTTGAATTAAATCCCAGCTTGTCCCCCCAGAATAGTTCAAAAACGATCCTGAAACATCATTAAAACTAGGACTTAATTAAATTTTTTGAGACAGAGTCTCACTGTGTCACCAGGTGCCAGGCTGGAGTGCAGTGGCGCGATCTCGGCTCACTGCAACCTCCGCCTCCCGGGTTCAAGCAATTCTCCTGCCTCAGCCTCCTGGGTAGCTGGGACTACAGGCACATGCCAACACGCCCAGCTAATTTTTGTATTTTTAGTACAGACGACGTTTCACCATGTTGGCCAGGATGATCTTGATCTCTTGACCTCATGATCCTCCTGCCTTGGCTTCCCAAAGTGCTGGGATTACAGACATGAGCCACCGTGCCCAGTGGTCTTCAAATATTTTAAAAATAAAATTCAGAAAAAAATTTAGAAAAGTACAAAGGACAGTATATAAAACTCTTATGTACCCATCAGTGATAATAGAAAATTAACATTTAATATCCACACGATTATAAAAAACTGCATAGTTACCTATTATATTGTGTAGCTTATATTATAAATTCCTGTTGCTACTTAAATTGTCTTCCAAATTGTCTGATAATTTTCTGCATCTGTGGATTCAACAAATCGTGGATCAAAAATATTTGGAAAAGCCAATAAACAATGACAACACAACAATAAAAACAATACAATGTTAATATTTAACAATAATAAAAATAATCTAAATTTTATAATATAAAAGTATAACAACTATTTACATAGCACTTACATTGTACTAAGTGTTATAAGTAACCTAGATATGATTTAAAGTACACAGGAGGATGTTCATGAGGAGGTTCATAGATTATATGCAAATACTATACCATTTTATATCAAGGACTTAAGCATCCACAGATTTTGGTATCTGGGGACGAGCGGAGGATCAGAATCAATTCCCCAGGGATACTGAGGGATGGCAGTACAAATAACACTCCAACAAAAATCAAATACAGATGTGTTGTAAGAGCTAAAGTCAGGGCCAGCTTCGTGTGTGTGGACATGTGTAGTCACACAGTGCCACTGTATTCAGAAGGGCCTCATGCATGGTTTAACACTCTGCTGTAGCTGTCTTGAAATTCATTGTATTAGGTTGGGGCAAAAGTAATTGCGGTTTTGCCATTTTTCTTAAGTGATGGTAAAAACCACAATTATTTTTGCAGTAACCCAATAATTTTTTAATAAGGGGCCTCACACTTTTATTTTGTACATTTTATTTTGTACTTTATTGTGTACAGAACCTGATCAATATGCATGTGTAGAAAGATACAATATTGATATATTAACTGACTTGTTTATTTCCCCATCCTCCTTTGTCTCCTGTGACTCTCCTCACCTCCACCGGAGCAGCTCCTGGGAAGAGATCACAGAAGAGAAAGGAAGGCTGAGCGGGCAATTCTCTGCATTTGGCTTTAAAATAGGCCATTGTAAACAATTGCCTTGAGGGAAAAAAGGAAAGAGTTTTGATGGGTTGCAAAAGCCTGGATTCTAAAGGCTCCAGAACAGAACAATAGTTTTAGAAGAAATGTTCTCTGTTTTAGACAGTTTTGCCCCCCTTTGATTGAAATCTCCTTAAGAAAGCAGAGGGATTCTATGCTTGGGTCCCCACTGCGGGGGCTGGTGCTTTGAGAAAGCTCTGGGGATCCAGCAGCAGGGAAGAGCTGTGCCTCACTTCCACTGTGGAGCTAGGAGAGGCGGCAAGCTTTGCAGATGCCCGCTTGGCAGCGTGGCGGGGAAGCAATGGAGTAGAAATGATGGAAGGAAGGGGTGTCTGAACAGAGAAGCCTGAGACACCCTCACATGATTCCTGAGACACCCTCACATGATTCCTGAAACCCAGGAGGGATGGGGAAGCAACAGGATGCTTTCTAGAGAGACCAAGTGATGGTCAAAGGCCATTGATAGAAAGCTGGACCCAAGAGGCTTTATAGTTAGGAATGAAAGGGCTCTGTGTGTACTTATGTCCCGAGCCTGGGTGAGACAGAGGGTATCCCAGAGGATGCCAGTGAGGTCAGACAAGCACCAGGACCAGAGCCCTTGCCTGAGGCCTTAGAACTGCCTAACCCACTCCCACCAAATTAGGCCCAACCATGGGCAAGAACAGTCCCCTTAATATTAGATATCAAGGTAATGAGATATGATCTAGAAAATGTCAGTTGCAAAAAAAAAATTTTTTTTTTAAATTTACTAAACTTGCACCTGTGACCTGGGATTCTTACCTGTGACACATATTTTTCATGGGTGCTAATATTTGAATTCACATATCTCCTTAGAGCTCACCTAACACCTGAAAAAAAAATGTGACTTAAGAATAAACACTCTTCTGTTCTTTGAAGTGTTTTTACATTTCATTAATAGTTGAACTGGCGTCTGGCTCCTAAGATACTTCGATAAACATTTCAGACATAGACATTATTCACATCACGTTTATAATTTTAGTGGAGTGATTTCTCAGACTTGGCACACTTTAGCAGTGGAACCCTCTTTTCAAACAAAATATAAAGAAATCCTTTATACAGACAGTTAGGACTGGTTCTCTGGTGAAGATGAGAATCTGCTCCTTCCTTATGTCCCCTTTCACCCTCAAAGGAGACCCTGGAGACATTCTTTTTAACCCTGGTGGCTCATGTGCAAGCTTGGAAGCCACCAAGCAATCAGACGGCTCCAGTCCTGATTCTCTAGGGAAGAAGAAATGATAACAGCTCACTTAGCTGGCTGACCCTTGGTTCCCAGGTCTGTCAAATGAGCGGAATAGACCAGCCCAATGGTGTAATTGTCACGAGAATCTACTCAATGGCTTTTTTTTTTTTTTTGAGACGGAGTTTCGCTCTTGTTACCCAGGCTGGAGTGCAATGGCGCGATCTCGGCTCACCGCAACCTCCGCCTCCCAGTATCAGGCAATTCTCCTGCCCCAGCCTCCTGAGTCGCTGGGATTACAGGCACGCACCACCATGCCCAGCTCATTTTTTGTATTTTTAGTAGAGACGGGGTTTCACCATGTTGACCAGGATGGTCTCGATCTCTTGACCTCGTGATCCACCCGCCTTGGCCTCCCACAGTGCTGGGATTACAGGCTTGAGCCACCGCGCCCGGCCTACTCGATGGCTTTAAGGATGTCTTTGCTTGGGCCTCCTACTCTCTCCTCCCCATGCTGAGATTAGTCTGGGGCGGGGCCCAGGAATCTGCATTTTCAAAAGGCTACCCCCAACCCCAGTTATTCCAATATGCATCCAGTTCATCTTGGAGAAAGATGAACTTTGAGGACTGTTATCAAAAATAAAATGCCATGAATAGGAATTTGAGAGAAGAAACATCTTAGCCAACTCTTTAAGTGACTGGAATAATTTCCTGGTTTACCTTAATTGGATAATCCAATTGGAACAAATTCTGGAGGGTAGAAGGAGTTTTGAGGACTCACAGGAAGTAGAAATAATACAGTTTCATTTTCAATTTCAGTGGTGTTAAATGAGACAGTGAAGCAGAACAAATTCTATTCTCCTAAGAATGCAAGCATTTCTCTCTAGCAAAGAGTCCTTGAAATAGTTATTTGTCCTTGGCTCTTTGGAAAATCATGGCTCAATGCCAAGTGGGCATAGAACACTGACAATTTTATTCATGTAAATGTCAATATTGCCTTCATTAGGTAAAAATGCTAAAATCAGTGTTTGAAAATTTTGGAACCTAGATACCATATAATTCAATTAAGTCTCAACTACAATTTTGCCTTCTTTGAGAAGAGTATTATTCTATTTTTGTTAAATATTTAAAAATTAACCTACAAGGAAATGAAAATCATTTTAATCTTGTCTCATATTTGTTTAATAATCTCAAATGATTAATTTTCTAATTAAGAAAATGGAATTGATTTTGGAAAGTTATGTAGTATTCATGGTTGAAGTTTTCAATATTTCACTATGACATTTAGCCTAGCTTAATAAAAATTCTTCTGCAGTTTTCTAGCAAAGCTTTCCCAAAATGTGTCTTATTGCCACTGCAAGAGGTTAATAGAGGTCACATAGACAAAATGTTTCTTTACTGAAAGAAGCTTGGGGAACACATCATATATATATATTTGAATTTAAATTTTAAATACCCTAATTAAAGTTCTTAGAAATTCCCTTTATAATAGATTACTTTATCTCGAGGCTATTTATAGACAGTATAAAACGTAGAGACAGACTTTATTTAAGCTGTTACTTCCAGTCCCATCTCTGTTTAGTCGGAGAACACAAGGAGGAGGGTCTTATCTGTGCCTTCTGATTCTTGGTTTGCATATGGAGACAACTGACAGATTTATTTGCTAACTCTAAGCAGCTCTCTGTGACTCAAGTAGATCAAGGTCTTAGTAAGGTTTTTCTCAGAGTTCTGAGGGATATGTTCATGGAAAAGACACAATTTTGGGGCGAGTTGTTGGAGATGTTTATCTCTTCATCAGGGTAAAGTCCTGCATGCGATGAGTAGCTGGACTATCCAGTAGTGCAGTCACTGGCCACATGTAGTTATTTAAATTTAAATGAGAGTTAAGCAAAATTAAATACAATTAAAAATTCAGCTCCACAGATACACTAGTCACATTTCAAGTGCTCAGTAGCTACATACTTTTTTTTCATCATCATAGAAAATTCCACTGGAAACACCATTGTAAAATGTCAGTCCTAGCTCTTGAACTCTAACTCAGGATTAGAGTTTTGTACTTTCTCATTGGTCTGGGGCCTCTCCCATCCATCTACATTGAGTTCCGTGTCTTGACAATTGGTTTTCATTTCATAATTCATGCAATTTTGTCTCTCAGTACTATTGTGGACTCTACTTTAACATTTAGGTACTGTTACAATCCCTCCCTTTGTTAGTTAGTCAATTTTTCATGGTCTTGTGGGTTGGCTGGGCTCAGTTGGTGGTTCTTCCTCTTCACACGATATTGGCTATGATCCCTCATGTGACTACAATCTGCTGGGAGCCTGGTTTGAGCTGGAATGTCCAAGATAGCTTCACGCACATGTTGGGCACTTCACCTAATGTGGCTGCAAGCTGGCTGGGCCTTTCTCTCTCTTACATTGTGGCCAACCCCAGGTTTCACTCCATAAACAAGTAAAAGCACAAGCTGCCAGATCTCTTGAGGGCTGGGCACTTGTACAGCACCACTTTCATCATATTCTATAAGTTGCAGCAAATCACTGTGCCAATAAGAGTCAAGAGGAAGTAAAACAATTTTCACTGTTGATGGGAGGAGCAGCTTGCTGGTGTTAGAAAGGGATGGATTTTTGGTAGTCATCTTAGCAGGTTTCTATACTTTTTTGTAGTTTAATCCCCTTTTTGTCATCATCTAAGATAGTTTTTAATGATACATACCACAATTATATAGTTAATATATTTAGCAATACCCATTCACTCTCTAATTTTTACACACAGTAATATATACTTATAAATAGTATTTTCTACAGCATCTAGGAACCAGAGGTGGAGTCATTATAAGCTATTGAGGTAAGAAAGTTAGGTGAAGAAGAGTGTGAAACGAAGATTTTCCTTCAAACTTTTCTATTCCAACTCCCTCTTGAGAAATTACAGTGCATATAAATATAGTAAAAATCTGATCAGTTATTCAGAAAAGATAAGTTTTTTTTCCAATGGGAATTTGGATTTGTCTTCATTCATACTTGCCCATCATGAAATGATTGCCCCATTTTGCTTTGAAATGTTTAAAAGAAATTATTAGGCAGGTAAGTTTTAAGTAAAAGAATATGTGATGCCAAAACCCATTCATAATTTAAGCATGCAATTGAAAACCAAGATACCATATTTTACAAATTATATTCTCCACAAGTAGAACACTGATATTGCCCAGGATAAAAATGTGTGTATGTGTGCATATGTGAACATTTGTGTGTGTTGAGAAAGCAAGAGTAATATAAACATGTAAGAATATAAATTTAAACATATTTTCAGAAAATATTTTGTCAACATTTATAAAATTTAAAAGGCATGTCATTTAAATAAACATTTCCGCTTTGGGGAGTTCATCATTATTCCAATAAATCCTTAGTGAACCTTCCCCTTGTTAACATACTCTATATATTTACTGATTTTGTGTGTGTGTGTCTTGAGGAAACACAGAAATATCAAATTATGAGATAACAATCATTCTCAAGTAAGTCACATCAGGATCTGCATGCTCCTTTCTGAAAAGAATGACTTCACATTATTCCCACAAACTGAACATGGAATGATTGCAGAGTTTATGGAAAAATCTATGTTCAAAAAACTATTCCAGCATATTGTTTAATATCGCTTTACCAAATTAGCAATAGTTACGTTCTCTTAGAACAATTCTCAAAGGGGCACTCACAGTGATTTCTGCCTTAATCAAAAGAGCCAGAACCTACTCTCTCTTTGAAGATGTCACTCATAGTAGGCCAACTACCCATGATCGTGTTGGTAAAACATGGTGAGTCCAGAGAGCTTAGATATTTGAAAGAGTTCTGCTCACAAGCAATGAACTGAAGCCAATGTGATAACATCTGATTTCTGGATAATATTCACTTAAGTAGAGAATAAAGAGGTTTTATAATACCTTTTTAAAACCGGTTTCTTAATCTCTTGGGTCCCCAAAATTTCTGTTCCATTACTTACTATAACCAAGATTTGTTTAATGGGTTAATCCTTGATTTTGAAGGCACCTAATTCAATTCAAGATATAGAAATGATCATTGTAGTTTTGTGTGGAATAAAAAGGGGAAATAACAAAACAGATGTTAAACTGACAAAGATCAAGAAAGACAAAGAAGGGTATTACATAATGGTAAAGGGTTCAATTCAACAAGAAGATCTAACTATCCTAAATATATATGTATCCAACACAGAAGCACCCAGATTCGTAAAGCAAGTTCTTAGAGGCATACAAAGAGTATTAGACTCTAACACAACAATAGTGAGAGATTTCAAAACTCCACTGACAGTATTAGACAGATCATCAAGGCAGAAAATTAACAAAAATATTCAGGACCTGAACTCAACCTTGGACCAAATGGATCTGATCCACCTCTATAGAACTCTCCATCCAAAATGAACAAAATATACATTCTTATCATCACCACATGGTACATACTCTAAAACTGACCACACAATCAGACATAAAATAATCCTCAGCACATATAAAAGAAACAAAATCATACCAAATACACTCTCAGACCACAGCACAATAAAAATAGAAATCAGACTTAAAAAATTGCTCAAAACCATGCAAATACATGGAAATTAAACAACTTGCTCCTGAATGCCTTTTGAGTAAATAATGAAATTAGAAAGAAATCAAGAAGTTCTTTGAAACTAATGTGAAGAAAAATAACAACATACTAGAATCTCTGGGACACAGCTTAAGCCATGTTAAATGGGAAATGTATAGCACTAAACGCCCGCATCAAAAAGTCAGAAAGATCTCAAATCAGCAACGTAACATTACAACTAAAAGAACTAGAGAAGCAAGAGAAAACCACTGCAAAGCTAGCAGAAGACAAGAAGTAACGAAATTCAGAGCTGAACTGAAGGAGACCGAGACATGAAAAGCCATTCAAAAGATCAACAAATCCAGCTGGTTTTCTGAAAAAAAAAAAAAGAAAAAAAAAAAAATAGATAGGCCACTCTAGACTAATAAAGAAAAGAAAGAAGATCCAAATAAACACAATCAGAAATGATAAAGGGGATGTTACTGCTGACCCCACTGAAATACAAATAACCATCAGAGAATATTTAAAAACACCTCTAGGCACACAATCTAGAAAACCTAGAAGAGATGGATAAATTCCTGGACACATACACCCTCTTGAAACAAAACCAGAAAGAAATTGATTTGGACCAATAATGGGCTCCAAAATTGAATCGGTAATAAACAGCCTACCAACCAAAAAAAAGCCCAGGACCAGATGAATTCACAGAATTCCACCAGATGTACAAAGAAGAGTTGGTACCATTCTTACTGAAAGTATTCCCAAAAACCAAAGAGGGACTCCTCTCTAATTTATTCTTGGAAGCCAGCATCATCTTGATATCGAAACCTGGCAAAGACACAACAAAAAAAGAGAACTTTCGGCCAATATCCTTGATGAATGTTAATGCAAAAATCCTCAATAAAATACCTGCAAACTGAATCTAGCAGCACACTGAAAAGCTAATCTACCATGATCAAGTAGGCTTTATCCCTGGGATGCAAGGTTGGTTCAACATGTATAAATCAATGAATATGATTCATCACATTTATAGAACTAAAGACAAAAATCATATGATTCTCTCAAAAAAGTCTTTTGATAAAATTCAACATTCTTTCATATTATAAGCTAGTTGTAGAAGGAACATATCTCAAAATATAAGAACCATCTATAACAAACCTACAGCTAACATCATACTTAATGAGTGAAAACTAGAAGCATTCCCGTTGAAAACCGGCACAAGGCAAGAATGCTACCTCTCACCACTACTATTTAACATAGTACCAGAAGCCCTGGCCAGGGAAATCAGGCAAGAGAAAGAAAAAAAGGGCATCCAAAAAAGAAGAAAGGAAGTCAAACTATCCCAGTTTGCAGATGACATACTTTTATATCTAGAAAACCCTGTAGTCCCAGACCATAAGCTCCTTCAGCTGGTAAACAACTTCAGCAAAGTTTCAGGATGCAAAATCAACATACAAAAATATCTAGCATTCCTATACAACACCACCAGCCAAGCCAAGAGCCAAATCAGGAATGTAATTTCATGAATTGTCACAAAAGCAATAAAATATCTAGGAATACAGCTAACCAAGAAGGTGAAAGATCTTTACAATGAGAATTACAAAACATTGCTCAAATAAATCAGAGATAACACAAACTAATGGAAAAACATTCCATGCTCATAAATTAGAAGACTCACTATCATTAAAATGGCCATACTGCCCAAAGCAATTTACAGATTCAATGCTATTCTATCAAACTACCAATGACATTCTTCACAGAACTAGAAAAAAACATCTTAAAATTTATATGGAACAAAAAAAGAATCCAAACAGCCAGGGCTATATTAAGTAAAAAGAACAAAGCTGGAGGCATCACATTACTGGATTTTGAATTACACTACAGGGTTACAGTAACCAAAACAGCATGGTACTGGTAAAAAGACAGACACATCAATGGAACAGAATAGAGAACTCAGAAATAAGGCCATATACCTACAGCCATCTGATCTTCAACAAAGCTGACAAAAACAAGCAATGGGGAAAGGATTCCCTATTCAATAAATGGTACTGGGATAACTGGTTAGCCATATGGAGAAAATTGAAACTGGACCCCTTCCTTACACCATTTACAAAAATCAACTCAAGATGAATTAAAGACTTAAATGTAAAACCCAAGACTATAAAAACCCTGGAAGACACATGCAATACCATCCTGGCTATATAAATGTGCAAAGATTTCATGACAAAGATGTCAAAAGCAATCTCAACAAAAGCAAAAATTGACAAATGGGTTCTAATTAAACATGAGAACTTTTGCACGGAAAAGGAAACTATTAACAGGCTAAACAGATAGCCTACAGAATGGGATAAAATATTTGCAAACCGCACATCTGACAAAGGTGTAATATCCAGAATCTACAAAAAAATTAAATTTACAAGCAACAAACAACCCTATTAAAAAGTGAGCAAAAGACATGAGCAGACACTTTTCAAAAGAAGACATACATGCACCCAACAAGCTCAATATCACTGATAATTCAAGAAATGCAAACCAAAACCACAATGAGATACTGTCTCATGCCAGTCAGAATGGCTATGATTAAAACGTCAAAAGATAACGGATGCTGGTGAGGTTGCAGAGAAAAGGGAATGTTTATATACTGTTGATGAAAGTGTAAATTAGTTCAACCACTGTGGAAAGCAGTGTGGCGACTCCTTAAAGAGCTAAACACAGAACTACCATTCGACCTAGCAATCTCATTACTGACTACCCAAAGGAAGATGAATCGTTCTATCATAAAGGCACACGCACACGTACGTTCACTGCAGTGCTATTCACAATAGCAAAGACATGGAACCAACCTAAATGCCCATCAATGGTAGACTGGATCAAGAAAATGCGGTACATGTATGCCATGGAATACTAAACAGCCATCAAATAGAATTACATCATGCCCTTTGCAGAAACATGGATGGAGTTGGAGGCTATTATCTTTAGCAAACTAATGTAGGAACAGAAAACCAAACACTGCATGTTCTCACAAGTGGGAGCTAAATGATGAAAACACATGGGCACATAGAGGGGAACAACAGACTGGAGCCTATAGGAGAGTGGAGGGTGGGAGGAGGGAGAAGAGCAGAAAAAAATAACTGTTCGGTACTAGGCTTAGTACTTGGGTGACAAAATAGTCTGTAACAAAGCCCCACAACACAAATTTGCCTATATAATAAACTGCCCATGCACTCCTGAACCTAAAAGTTAAAATATTAAATTAAATTAAATGTAAAAAGGGAAATAACCATACTAGGGCTTGGTTACATGGATTGTGTACATCCATACGAAGAAATATGAATAGGAGCTCCAGTAGTGCAATCAGTTAGCACTCAGTACTTATACCACAAAGGAATATGAATGTATGTAGCCATTAAATTGAAAATATTGAACTATATATATATTTGCATAGAAAGATATGCAAGATATGCTAAATGAAAAAAGAAATGTGCAGAACAGTATGCAAAATATGTATTCATCTGAGTAAATGGAAAATTGTGTTTTTGTGTGTGTTTGAATATAAATAGAAGCTTTATAAAATGGCCTATGTAAGAAATATAACTGGTCATTTCTGGGAAGAATTTGGGATGGGAATGGAGGAAAATTTGCTATACTTTTCTTATTATTTACTCTTTAAAAAACTACAAGCAAGCATTATTTTTATATATTTTAAGAAACTAAATGACAAAACAATTGGCAAAAAGAGGAAAGAATTAAAGATAATATGTTCTAAAACAACTCTATATGAATGTAGTTAAATGATCATTTTAATGTGAAACACATGGCAGTCAATGGCTTTGTAATGGATGGGGAAGAATGATAGGATTTGGAGCCAGACAGATCCAAGATTAAATCCCAATAGCACAGCACTTAGTGTAAAGCTCTGGGCAGGTCATATAAGCTTTCTGAAACACTTTTCACATCTGTCAAATAGATGTAATCATACATTTCTTACAGGCTCATCATGAGAATGCTGATGATAGTAAAATATTTGGCTTACTGTGTGCCTCACAGTAGATGTTCAATAAATGATTGGCTGTATTCATTACACTATACACAAGCTGTGTGGACTTGGGAACATTTCAACATCTCTCAACTTCAGTTTCTGCATCAGAAAGCAGTAAAAAATTAATTTCCGTCATATTGACTACAAGGAGCTGAGCTCAGGTAATTGGCAAATGGTATTTGTAATGTCTCTCTACAAATTTCCTGAAAGCTACAAGTGGAGGTAGTTTTAAACTTATGGAATAGAGGGAAACTATTTGTTTCCATTAAATCTCCTTCATGATCAGCCTACAAAGGTCAATTCTAGTTGAATTCATTCCCAATGGCATTCTCTTTTTATGCCTCCTTGATCAAAACCTTCTCAGTTGATTTCTGTATTGAAGACTACCAACACAAGTCCCTGGGCAGTAATGACAGTTTACATCCTATCAAATTTACTTTAATCAGAAACCATATCCTAGCAAATTTATTTTAATCAGAAACCACATCTCAGTCTGGCTACATTCAAAAATAATTTTTTGAATAAAAAATTTTATTATGGGTTTTCTGGTTACAGTCTATAAATATTTCCACACATCTACAACTGTGTATACTAGATCCTTTTGTCCAAAAATGTTGGTTGGTTCAAATATTTTTGTATAGTAATAGAAAGAAAAATCATCTGTTAGAAGTAAAAGGAAAAAGAGATTCTTTATCTGTGTTTAACAAAGGCCTCTGAAAAATACCCGACCAGTCTTCCACGTGAAGCCAATCAGCTTGGTTTATTTATCATGCATATTTTGTGAGTATGAAAAGGTATTTCATATAAAAGTCTTAGAGCAAATATACCTCTCAGTCTTTTCAATTTACTCTATGAACAAATTCTATAAAATTTAATCAATTAACTCTTTAGTCTGTGTTTCTACTAGATATTATTAACACATTCAACAAATTTAATGATGACTTAATATCATCCTAT